CTTGCAACGAATCGTTGTTCGTGAGCTCTCACGGGTGTTTCTCTTCAACAAGTGCTGTTCAGGTTCGGATCACTGGCCGTGCTTCCTGTCGTTCAACATCTGTTCAGGTTTCATCACTTGGTGCTTCCCTTCAAACAGAATCCTGTCTCGAGTTGTTCGACTCGACTGGTGCCTTCCTCTTCAACAAGTCTGGTTGCAGTTTCATCACTGGTTGAACAATTTGTCAGGATCATCTTCCAACAATCTGTTCAGGTTCAGGTCGTCACTGGTTGCTTTCTTCTTCAACAATCTGTTCAGGATTCATCACTGGTGCTTCCTCTTCAACAATCTGTCGGGTTCATCACTGTGCTTCCTCTTCAACAATCTGTTCAGGTTCATCACTGGCTTCCTTCTCAACAATCTGTTCAGGTTCATCCACTGGTGCTTCCTCTTCAACATCTGTTCAGGTCATCACTGGTGCTTCCTCTTCAATCAATCTGTTTCAGGTCATCACGTGGTGCTTCCTCTTCAACAATCTGTTTCAGGTTCCTCACTGGTGCATCTCCTCTTCAACAATCTGTTCAGTTTCATCACTGGTGCTTCCTCTTCAACAATCTGTTCAGGTTCATCACTGGTGCTTCCTCTTCAACAATCAGGTTCATCACTGGTGCTTCCTCTTCAACAATCTGTTCAGGTTCATCACTGGTGCTTCCTCTTCAACAATCTGTTTCAGGTTCATCACTGGTGCTTCCTCTTCAACAATCTGTTCGGTTCATCACTGGTGCTTCCTCTTCAACAATCTGTTCAGGTTCATCACTGGTGCTTCCTCTTCAACAATCTGTTCAGGTTTCATCACTGGTGCTTCCTCTTCAACAATCTGTTCACATCACTGGTGCTTCCTCTTCAACAATCTGTTCGGTTCATCACTGGTGCTTCCTCTTCAACAATCTGTTCAGGTTCATCACTGGTGCTTCCTCTTCAACAATCGTTCAGGTTCATCACTGGTGCTTCCTCTTCAACAATCTGTTCAGGTTCATCACTGGTGCTTCCTCTTCAACAATCTGTTCAGGTTCATCACTGGTGCTTCCTCTTCAACAATCTGTTCAGGTTCATCACTGGTGCTTCCTCTTCAACAATCTGTTCAGGTTCATCACTGGTGCTTCCTCTTCAACAATCTGTTCAGGTTCATCACTGGTGCTTCCTCTTCAAACAATCTGTTCAGGTTCATCACTGGTGCTTCCTCTTCAACAATCTGTTCAGGTTCATCACTGGTGCTTCCTCTTCAACAATCTGTTCAGGTTCATCACTGGTGCTTCCTCTTCAACAATGTTCAGTTCATCACTGGTGCTTCCTCTTCAACAATCTGTTCAGGTTCATCACTGTGCTTCCTCTTCAACATCTGTTCAGGTTCATCACTGGTGCTTCCTCTTCAACAATCTGTTCAGGTTCATCACTGGTGCTTCCTCTTCAACAATCTGTTCAGGTTCATCACTGGTGCTTCCTCTTCAACAATCTGTTCAGGTTCATCACTGGTGCTTCCTCTTCAACAATCTGTTCAGGTTCATCACTGGTGCTTCCTCTTCAACAATTTGTTCAGGTTCACACTGGTGCTTCCTCTTCAACAGTTCAGTCTCATGTCTTCCTCTTCAACAATTTGTTCAGGTTCATCACTGGTGCTTCCTCTTCAACAATCTGTTCAGGTTCATCCTGTGCTTCCTCTTCAACAATTTGTTCAGGTTCATCACTGGTGCTTCCTCTTCAACAATTGTTCAGTCCATCACTGGTGCTTCCTCTCAACAATCTGTTCAGGTTCATCACTGGTGCTTCCTCTTCAACAATCTGTTCAGGTTCAGGTGCTTCCTCTTCAACAATCTGTTCAGGTTCAGGTGCTTCCTCTTCAACACTGTTTGGTTGCTTCCTCTTCAACAATTTGTTCAATCAGACAAACTTTTCAACAAGCTATTCAGGTTCATCGAGCACTTTTGCCTGCTCTTCGACAAACTGTCCGGAACATCAAACAAAACTGTTCATCAATAACCGGTGCTCCCTCTTTAACAAGCTGTTCTGGTTCATGAATATGTACGATTTCCAACCTTTGTATTCCCGTGAAATTAGAGCTAAAGATACCGTTTGCAATGGAAATTTTTTATGAAAGACCGGCATTGTACATTTTATTTAATGCGTTTCTGGTTCATTCGTTTAAATTTTCTGTAGCATGGTATAACAATGCATTTTTTTCGTTGTTTTGTGGTAGGTCATATGCTTAATTTTATATTATTATTATTATTTTTTTTTAGAATGTTTTTTTTTTTTTTTTTTTTTTTTTTTTTTTTTTGGTACTTTAAGGATCATATTGGTTGGTGTTTCGTATTGCTGTGTGAAGTGAATGGGATTCATTTACATACATATTGTGTATGTCTTGATGTAATGCATGTGTTTGTGATATCAATTTGCCTTGTCTGTCTGTCCCTGACTCTCTCTCTCTCTCTCTTTGTATTTCTCTCTCAATCACTTCCTCAACACCGAATTCTCTCTCTATCCCTATCTTTTTCTCTCTCATATATATATTATATATATATATATATATATATATATATATATATATATATATATATATTATATATATTCAATATTCTTATCTAGATTATCGTTATCACATTATAATTATCATCCATTATGTAATATATTCATCTCAGTTGCAATGTGAGTGGGACAACTGAGTAAGTTCAGCGTCCTGGAGCAGCGCCTGAGCCTCCTTCTCGGGCTTCTTGGCTTCAGGACTCATCATTCAACCGTGACCAGGAAGGAGAGGTCGCACTCGGTCCGCCCGGCTTCAGACACGCACCAAATCCGCACGTTTCTGAACTCGGATACGAACCTCTTGGCCGTCTTCTTGGCCGCTTGTGTGGTCTCGGCGGCGGCGGGGGTCTCCCGGTCAGCTCCTCGTCGGCGGTGGGCGGCGGTGGTCTCGGCGGCGGCGGGGGTCTCTAACAGAAGAGGTAATTGCCGGACTACGACACCGACTTCGTGTCAACCAACAAGATTCACTGGAGGAACTTAAAGATGTCATTCTGGAAACGCGATAAGAACGACGAGGAACTCGAGAAGATCTTCGCCATAATTAAGAGGATGAGTGATGGAGACAGCGATGAAGGTCGTAGATCTAAACGCCGACTCGACGCAGAAAAGGACTGTGATGGAGAAGAATCTGATGAAAGAGACCTTTTTAAGAAAAAATAATCTTTATACTCTTAGATAAATAGACCAATATTTGTTTAATATGCTTCTTTTCTTGAACATTTGATAAAATTGTGTTACATAAGGGTTGAAGACCCGGCGAGCGAAGCGAGCAAGCGCTGCAGGCCAAGCAACCAGGCCGGTGCTTATATGCATCATATATATATATACACCACACACACACACACACACACACACACACACACACACACACACACACACACACACACACACACACACACACACACACACACACTTCCTGCATCATGTAGGTTATATTTTCGTTCTGGTAAAACAAAATCACTAACTTTTAGGTAGCCAGTAAATGCATTGATAAATAAAAGATCATGCATACATGCTTATATATGTATACAAGTATATCGGTATGGGTGTAGGGCTATCAGTTCTGAATACAAATACACAGATTATTTATATTATATCTATAACTATCTATACATACACATATATATTTATTTACTGCAGCCTTTCTGGCAAACACTGCATCCTGGATAAGCGTATTCGGAATTTATCTCTACGACTAAATATAAATTCACATGAAATTCAATTTGAAATGTGCATTCTCTCTCGCAAGAACACGATCTCACTCGGCAACGGAGCCTCTGCAGATGCTTGAAAAAATCTGCAATTATATTTCAAACGCGTGATCAAGGACGGAATCCCTTTAATCAATTAATTTAATTAGATTTGATTAGATAATAAATTTAAATAAATATAATTTTCAAAGGCGATGCAAAGCGGAGTGGAAAATAGAACCATTAGTATGAAAACTAGTTTGGCTTCTCATGTCAAAGTCACGTGCTGGGGGCGAGGTAGCAGGTATGACAATTAAATTTCTGGATTGCTCTTTGACATGTAAACAATGGAGCTGCCAAGGGTTATTTTTGTATAAAGCTTCACAACGGTTTAAAATAAAAGGTA